GAGAATTGGCTATATCGTTTCTAAATTATCTTTTCTCCCTTAGTTTTATTCTCTTGGCTTGATGGTCCCATTGGTTTTTTTGTGTTTCTATTAGTCTAATATGAAAGATCCCAGGCAAACTTTCAGTGAATTTTGTTTTTCTGATATGTAGCCTGTTTCGCTGTTAATATCTCTAAGAATGTTGTACTCACTTCACTATTCTGTTTATTTGGTGAGTCTTCCATTTCTGCTTAGGCAGTATTTTCATACCTAAGCAATAAGATAAATGTATCCTGGGTTGCACCAGCTCTGCTCCCTGTGGAAGAGTAGATAAAGTCCCAGGAATTCTTACTAACTTGGAAACTGCTTGGCTGGAAAAACCTTTTGGCTCTATCTTAGTTGTGAAATGAGTGGTTTTTTTCTTCTTTGTTAGAACCAATCTAAATATGATCCTTGAACTCAGATAATCATTCTTCAGAATGTTAAATAAAAGCAGTCTAAGTAAAGGGAGAAAATGTTTCTTTGTGCTTCCTATTCGAGAAATCCAGTTGCTTGCAATCCACATGTTTAGCACATTTCTCAGAATCAGGCTCAAAAGAATACCTAGTAAAAATAAAAGGGGAGGAAACAGCAATAAAAATCATTGCGGATTCAAATTTAAGGTTAAAATATGGGATTTTAGCCTGGATGATTTACATTAAAATCCTCCAGTTTTTCCTTCAGTTTTTGCTTGATGCCATGATAAGAACAATGTGAATTCTGCCTGTTCTGCCCTTGAAGTTTGCAGATAAATTTCAAGCTTATTATGTTCAACAAGGCTGATGAGAGAAAGGTGTTAGCTATTCTAAGTCAAGAAATTAGTAGCTGAGTCTATAAATTTAAAAGAAATAAAGGGAACAAACCTAAAGCTGTCTTTTGTACAATAGAAAAGATTGCTAACATTTTAGAATGAGGGAAAATGTTTATATGTGGGCTTAAAATAAATCTGAATCTGCTCCTATGTATAGTAACCATTTGGGAAAGTAATAAATGTGATTACCTCATGAGCAGGATGATAAGACTACCTTCATATATTAAATTCTAATACTTTTATATCTACTAACTGAAAAATCCATTCTTGTTTTTTGCACATTTAATAGTATTATTTAATATAATATTTAATATTTGAAGCTTTCAGATATTTTGGAGACATGATTGTGATTAAAAAGCAGTTCAGTAGTTGTGAGTTGCTGGATATTGCACCAAACTTCCAGCTGGACCCTAGCTATGTCCAAACAATCCTGCCCAGGGAATTTATATCTTGAAAAACAAGTCCAGTAAGAGGGAACAGATCAAAAATACCAGAGAAAAGAACCCAGCGTGTGTGGATTTCAAAGCAGATGTAGTGCTGTGTATAAGCCTGCTCTCCATTTCCAAACATCTTTCAGAAAAAAATGTGTTAAGACTTTAATCCTGTCAGACTTTTTAAAAAAGAGGTTTACTGAGCTTCCCCTTCTCCTCTAAGTCATTGCCTTCTTTTGATGAAATGATAGAAAGGAACTCATCTATTCAGAAAGGCATCTGAGAACTATATGAGATTCCTAGCTGCTTTTTTGGTGGGGGCAGGGTGGGTGGAATACTTCTAGTCTGGATGGAAACTGACCACTAAGAAACTCCTAATGTCTCACCGCTGCCAAAACAAGACTGGACCAGGATCCACGTGCCATATGGGTCAGGCAGGAAATGCACCTTGTTGAAAGACAATAGGGAGTTGCGGGCAACATAAACTGTCCTGAGAGCTGCGTCCCTAGTAAAAGGACAAGCTGCTTACTACTTAGTTTCCGCCAATTATAAAATGATATGGGAATGTGGTCTGCATGGTTGTTAATAGAAAGGTTAATCAAAAGATGCCAAAAGATAAAGAAGGTGGCAAAGAGTGTGGGAGATATATAAATAACACACATTGCAGGAGATAGTGCAGCGTGCTTCCCCCCAAATAATGGGCTCCCCAGTTCCCCACAGTGGCATGCACTCCTCATTCTGCCACCTGCCGGCCAAGAGACTGCCGCTCTCTTAATGTGGAGGGAAGTGGTAGTTAATATCCTCCTGCCCACCTTACCCCCACCCCCTGACTATTTTAGAGCTTTGTGTGCCCACCTACTTAACAGGTGCTAGTGACAAGCATAAAACATCATGGGTAACGTTTCTGAGTGTTTAATGCAGGTTTGGGTGAAGCAGGGCAGCTTCTTTCAGCAGGTCCCGATAGTAAGCTGACACGAGGTGTGTTTCTGTATCTTGCTCATTGATCTAAGATTCCGTATTCTCACAGTATCAGTCCAGCTAGATTATTGTTCTTTGACTTTCTAGAACATTTCTCACAACTCTGAGAGAATACAGGACAAATCCTATCATAGCTGCTATCTGCACTACCTTGTGAGGATGATACGGTTCTATTTAAACCAAGTAAGGTATTACACATTCCTCCGTTAATTGAATGTTTCATTTCTTGTACATACTTTTTCTTAATGATAACATGTTTATTAACTGCTTTCTATCTGCTAATTATTGTCATACATGTAAAATGAATTATCTCACTTAATGTTTAAAAATTACCAAGTAAGAGGTATGAACTACCATCATCCTTCCTCATTTACCAATGAGGAAAGTGGGCTTACAGAAGTTAATTTGCCCAAGGTCCTACAACTAAGAAGTGCAGAGATACTCAGATTCGTTTGACACAAACTTTTTTTTAATTGAAGTACAGCATTTGACACAAACTTATGCCACATTTCTTCTAAAGTCCTCAAAAGGCAAAGGATGTTATTTTATCCCATATATAGAATATTAACAATGATAATATTGGATATGTAGGCAAATGCTTAGAATTGGTTTTTAAATGATGATGGGATGTCTAAATTTTGGACAAAGTTTGGATGGGACGCAGTTGACTTATGTATGCATCTTGACATGAAAGACGGTTCTTCACTCAATGGTTTAAAAAAGTCATTTTTTGAAAAGGCACAACAAAGGTACTCTCATCCTGTCGCAGGGATAATAAACACCAGGATTAGTGATTATTCTTAATGTAACTTGGCTTCCTTTCCAATGCCTGTTTTATTTTCTTATCTTTCTTACAATGTTTACATGTGTCACCTGCCTTTTAGAGTCCCAGAGAGAATGCAGGGGCTAATTTCTGGTCCCTGTGTTTCTACAGAAAGAATAGTTTGTTTCAGGCAAAGGACATAAAATAGGTAAGACCAACTGGGAACTTTCCCCCATCATTTTATTATGAAAATTTTCAAGCATACAGCAAAGTTGACAGAACTTTACAGTAAATGCCCAAATACCAACCACGTGGGTTTTACATTTTAGTCTACGAGTTTTATTACGTATCTATCCATGTTATTTTTTGACTGATTTCAAAATAAATTGCAGGCGTCAGTATACATCCCCCTAATACTTTAAAGTGCATATTGTGTATAAAGTTTATTATGGTTTAGTTTTTTTAATTTTTAGTGTGTATTTATATGCACTGTAATGCATAAATGCTAAGTGTAAATTTGCTGATTTTTCATAAATCCACACACTTGTGTAACCCAAACCCTTCTCAAAATTTAGAAGACTGCAGCCATCCCAGAGTGTTTTCCTCATGCCCTTCCCAGTCATCTCCACCCCATCTCTCAGATGTAGCTACTGTTCTATTTTGCCAAAGATTAAATCTACCTATTCTAAAACTTCATATATGAAATAATACAAAGCATAATGCTTCTTTCACTCAACATGTTTTTGAGATTAATTCATGTTCCCTGTATCAGTGATTTATTCCTCTTATTGCTAAATATTCTCTTACATGAATATATCACAGTTTGTTTTTTCCATTTTCCTGTTGATGGACTGGGCTGTTTCCTTTTTTTTTTTTTTTTACTTATTAGGAGTAAAGCTGCTGTGAATATTCTTGTACAAATTTTTTTTTGATTGAACACATGTCTCTGTTCCCCTTGGGTAAACATTTAAGGATGGAATCATAGGGTCCTCAGGGAGGTATATATTTAGTTTAATAAAAAAACTGCCAGACCTTTTTTCCAGAGGATTGTACCATTTTACATGCCTGCAACAATGGGGACTTCCAGTTGTTCCACATTTTCTCCAACATTTGTGGTTGTTGATCTTTTTTGTCTTAGTACTTATGGTGGGTGTGTAATCATTTCCAGTTGATACTTTGATTGTTTCTACTTGTGCCTCTCAAGCCCTCTTGTCAGGTCGACCCCTTATCCTTTTTAACACCATCTCCCACCGGGAACTGCTGAAAACATTCTTTCTTTGTGATAATATTTAAGATAACCCAAAACTCAGCTTGAGTTATTCTTTCTCAAACATGGAGTGCATTGCTCACCAAGGAACCCTATTTCCTTTAATGGAGATCAGCATCTAAGAAAAAACCGGGGTTGCTAAGGGTACATGTTAGTCTGATCCACATGAGTGCTGGAGCTGGACAGGATGGCACCAGACAAGAGGCTACGTAAAACACTGTAATAAAAGCAGAACATGACTTCCTATAAAGATGATGAGTTAATGTTATTTCTAAACCAGGTGAATTTTTGATGCTAATATGAAAGCATATTAAACAAGCTTTCTGCTTTCCCCAAGAACTATATTAGATCTCCCTGTGGTTTTAGTTTATATTTCCTTATTAACTAATGATAGTAAGCACATTTTCATGTGTTTACTTGCTATGTGTAAATTTTTAATTTTCTTGACAAATTTATTGAGGTATAATGTACATACAATAAACTACACATATTTAAACTGTACAGTTTGATAATTGTGACATATATGCACCCATGAAACCATTACCACAATCAAGATAATGAATACATCCGTCACCCCAAAAAGTTTCCTCTTGCTCCTTTGTAATCCCTTCCTCCTGCCTGTCTCTCATCCCATTTCCCAAGGCAACCACTAATCTGTTTCTGTCACTTTAGATTAGTTTGAATTTTCTAGAATTTTATTTAAATGGAGCCACATAGCAAGTACTTTTTTTTCTGACTTCTTTCACTTGGTATTGTTATTTTTAGGTCCATCTGTGTTGCATGTATCAATAGTTCCATTTCTTTTTATTGCTGAGTAGTACTCCATTATATGTATATAATCACAATTTGTTAATACATTTACTGGTTAATGTACATTTGGCTACTACAAATAAAACTACTATGAATATTTGTGGACAAATTTGTATGGACGTATGCATTATTTCTGCTTCGTAAATACCAAGGAGGGAATGGCTGAGTCATATGTTAGGTATAAGCTTAACTTTTTAAGACGCTTCCAAACTGTTTTTCCAAAATGGCTGTACCATTTTAAGTTTCTATCATCAGTATGGGAGAGTTCCAGTTGCCCCATATCTTTGGCAACACTTAATATGGTCAGTTTTTTAATCTTAGCCATTAAGTTTAGGTTTTGCGTTTAGACCTGTAACCCAATTTTTATTCATTTTTGTATATGGCACAAGGTGTGGGCCAATGGTCTTTTCTGCATATGGGTACTGAACGCATGAGGGATAGCGTTCGGTCTTTCACCATTAAGTATGATATTAGCTGTAGGTGGTTCATAGATGGCCTTTAGCAACTTGAGGAAGTTCCCTTTTAGTCCTTATTTTCTGATTTTTTTTATTGGATATAGATGTTGGAGTCTGTTAAATACTTTTTCTGCATCTAGTGAGATGATCATATGGTTTTCCTATTTCAGTCTATTAATATGGTAAGTTGCCTTGGTTGATTTGTGAATGTTAAAACAAACCTTGAATTCTTGGGATAAACCCACCAGAGACCTCTAAATTTCTAACCATATTTTAAGTCAGACAATATCTGCAGTTCCATTTTTTCATACTATGTGAAAAATAATGAATTCATAAAATTTACCATCACATTTGTACTGTGGTACACATTAATGGTTTCAAGTTCTTTACATTTAGATGACATTCTGCTTTTACAAATAATTTCCAGATTTTTTTTGGCCCTTTGCTAGAGGTTTTATTCTCACATAAACAGAATTTATTAGCAAGTTAGGACTTAACAACTTAACTTGGAGGAGCTCTGGGCATGTTGCCAACCTCTTCCTGTCTTATCTCAGTCTAGAAAGTTCATACACTAAATAAAATTGTATCTGGAGTAGAAAAATCAGTTAATACCTGCTGCTGTGACCTCAGTTGTTGTTTTGAACCCATTTTAGGTCAATTTGAAATTTAGGACCACTACGGAAGTGATAAAAATTTGCAGTTAACTGAATCCATAAAGAGAAAATCAGTGAAAGGATTCATACTGAAGTCACTCTACCTGCTCAGGTAATCAGTATCCCTAAATTGATGTCTCAAATGAAATTTTTAAAAGAAAATTATTTACCAGTAATTTCTTTACTAATTCTTTTACCAATAAGTTTTATAGCTCAATTAAATTTTTTTTTCTTAGAAGGGCATGTGCTCAACAGACTGTCATTTCTGAATCCTTCTATTTTAAACACCTTTTTTTTTCTTTGAAAATCATAGGCTTCAAGGGCATAATTTTTCAAGTTTTATCTCTCAGAGCAACGAGACTGGTTAAAGCATGTTGAAAAATTCGTTTAAAAGCTATTCTAACACTCCAGTCTGTAATCTGTCTTTCTCTCTTTAGAGAGCAAAGCCAGTAAGAGTTAAAGCATTTCCCAGCCAGGCCCCTCCCCACATCTAAAACCTCACGTATTATAGAATAGCTTCTTGAAGATGAGCTGACTGAGAATCTGGTGTGAACCTGAAGAGGTCCTTGGGCCCACTACCTCATCTAATATAACATCCCAAATGTCCTGTTCCCAGAGTTTTTCTTGATCTCTCTTACCAGCTAGATTCCTGGTCCACTGGTTTCCATTTCTGTTTCTTCTGGAAAGTCTCAGGTGCCTCTGCCACTTTATCTAGAGTTAGAGTGATCATATAACCTATTGTCCAAACACAGACACTTTTGAGAGTGAAAGGAAACATCACTAATCATTCCTGGACAACAGGCATAAACCTCTTGGGAGCACGGTCCCCCTACCCAGATCTAATAGAAGTAACCAGGAAATTATAAATCTGCCTGTTTCTATATTGTATTTTCTTTTCAACTAGAATGTCGGCTTCTCATAATCAAGGAGGTAGTAGACACACTCCGTTGAAACAGTTTCTCATTTTCTTCTACAAACCATTTACAGTTCCCTATGCCAAAGATGGTCCTGTTGTTCCCTTGTATTCCAGGGTATTTTCTGCTCCAATTTGCCTATCCCTCCCTCAAATCAACCCAGCCATTTTAAGGTCTGGGGTCTTTGTGTCAGTCCCATTTCTGACATCAAGCTGTATCATCAGAGAGAAAAGTGATATAAAGACACCAACAGAGAGAGTTAGAGGATACAAAAGTTTTGTAATAGAAAAGTGTGTGAAAATTTACAGAGATTACCTCCAAAATGCAGGGGACCACAAAGCATGCTGAAGGTACAGGCTTTACAAATTTTCACAAGGATGTACAGCTGATGAAGATACCACTTATGCACGTGAGGTTCCTCCAGGCATGAGCCAATCAATTTTGCCTTGTCATGGGGAATTTTATACTTTCCTGATTCTAGAGACTCTGGTTCTGTGCCTCCTGTTAACCAGGTACAACCAATACAAAGCAGACCCAGCACATTCCTCGGTTTCTACTGTGAGATGAGGTAAAGTGAAGGTCAGTTCCCTGGGTTTGACATCCCTCAGCAGGCCCAGATTTCATACGTATCTGAGATCTGTTTCTACAAGAATCCAGTGTTGCCAGGTCTTACAATGTTTTTAAGGGTACAAATCTTAACTTATGTTAAGTATTCTAATTTTTAAATGGTGGCCCTTAATTCAGATTTTAAAACACTACACAAGTGCCCTGTTATAAGCTTGTATGACTTTCTGAGCAAGTATTCACTTTTTCTGTCTCAGAATCTATCTTAGAATTTTGGTAATGTGCTATAATAAATATTTGTTGCCCATTTTGAACTTAATAGACTACACAGAAGTGCCTAAGAATGCTTTTGAGTCATTGTAGGGACGTGCCTACCAACAAAGACTGAAACATTTAGACACAGCAATCTCTGTGACTGGCTCATGCGTTTGATCATTGAACTCATTAGGTGCTCTACAAAGAACAGCATTGCTAATTGTGCCTTTAATGACACAGGAATAAAACAAGATGCATTTTAATAACTATTGATGCCTGCTAGAAGAAACGTATATTATACAAGGAAGTGCAACTAGTAATAAAATGTCCATGTTAATGAATACTAAAATTACATACAGATTAATGAAATAAGACTTTAAGGGGAGAGTATAGTGCAGTGGTAGAGTGCCTGCCTAGCATGTACAAGGTCCTGGGTCCAATCCCCAGTACCTCCTTTAAGAATAAATAAATAAACCTAACTACCCCCCAAAACAAATGAAATTTTTAAAAAATATCCTAAAGAATTTGTGTGTCTGCTGTTGTTATTCTAAAATTCTAATGAGTGATAATGCTACATGTAGGTGAATTCAAAAGTGCATGCTCTCTGACAGTCATTCTAATAAACAATATCATTTGGGATATAGTGCTACAGTTAGTGTGTTTTTTAATACCTAGGACATTTACTCATCTTTGAAGTTTTGAAAAGTGTATTGGTGATCCAAGGAGAATTAACAGATTAATCACAAGGGAGGGGAATTTGCCAAGTTGTTTTTTTTTCAGCAGCAGAACAGCCCAGACTCATGAAGGACTATGAGGAGTAGGGAGATGTCCTTAATGTATCCAGGGTGTTGGAAGGCAGATGGAAATGTCCCATTTGGGATATGACTGAGGATAGGAAACCTGGGAATCAAAGCTAAGGACCTCAAGGGCCTTATCACAAAGGAAGAAAGTTAGATTGAAATGATTTCTGATGGTGTCCCTCCCAAGTTTGGGTCTGTATTTCAAGAAAAGAGTCTAGATCTCTTTAAAACACCAGTTACTGTTAGCCACTATATCTTCAGTGTCACTTCGATATGTTGTAACTGGACTCCTCACATTTCCATTTCAGGTACAAAATTTTAAATGTTCAACAGTGAGAAGTAAATCCCTCTCTCACTCCCTTCCTGGGTCTGTTTCTGGGCAATTATTTTCTGATCCTTATCTTTTACATTTAGAGCTACAATCCACCTGAACTTGAATTTCGTTTATAGTATGAGGTGGTAGGGGGTGGTGTGGGCAGGCAGAGGGGGCTTACAAAGTCATTCTTGACCCTTGATGTATTCTTTACTCTTACAGTTTAGAATCCACTTGTCAATTCCACAAAAATTAATTCACTGCAATTTTGATTAGGATTACATTGATTCTATATAGATAAATCTAGGGAGGAGTGACATCTTCACTATTTTTGAGTCTTCTAATATACTGACAGAGTATATCCTGCCATTTGTTTAGGTAGTTTTCAATTTCTCTAAAAATGTTTTTAAGTTTCCTGTATAGATGTATTGCGTATCTTTCTTTCAATTAATTACTAGATGTTTGATATGTTTTGGTGTTATTATAAATGTTATTTTTCAAATTTCATTTTTTTAATTGAAGTATATAGTCAGTTACAATGTGTCAATTTCTGGTGTACAACATAATGTCCCAGTCATGTGTGTACACACACACACACACACATACACACACACATATATTATTTCTTTATATTACTTTTTCCTTTATAGTAAGGTTAAAGTTTACTTAAAGTAACATTATTAAGTTAAAAACGTTTAACCCGTTTCCGTT